TTTTGCAATCTAAAATTCATCTATCAAAAATAAAATAATTTTCTCTTACCTTCTTTATGATGTCCACGGAGTATACGGTGAGAACTTTGCCAAACCCCAGTTGAACACAACAATCCAAAACTGACACCAAAGAGAACAAAAACAACTGATATTTAACATTAGAAAATGGAATGGTTACCCCTCCCAGCAGCTGTCTTATAGGGATTTCGCATATGCTGCCCTTTATTGCATATTTACAGAACTATATTAATTGTCCACGGAGGGAGACATCATTTTTGATGGACAAAGTTCACTAGTCATTTATTTTATTAAAATAAATTTTTTTTTTAAAAATATTAAATAAAAAGTTACTATAAACATATAACTAGGCAAAACTACAAAAATCATTAAAATAACATTTAAATTGTTTAACAGGCATTAAAAATTATTTTGTGCCACAGACGGAGGGGATTTTGAAGTCATGTTTATTAAAAAATAGGAATGAAATATTAAATACATTTAGCAGAAATGCATATGATTTGTTGGTTAGAACTTCACGAAAAATGATAAAGAAAAATATTAAGAAATCTGCTGTATTTCCTAATATTTATTACTCAGGGACTTAAAAAACCACCTTTTTGTGAGAATGACCCAGCAGCGAAATAATTTTGCAGGACATAATTAATTGTGAACTTAAAAAGTTAGGACAATTGCTTGATTTGCGCAGGAAAAAGCCTTTACTTAAAATATTTTTCGTACATTTACTTTTTGAAGTAGAACTAGAGAGGAAAATTTATATTAATTAAAAAAAAAGCATTAATTTTAACAAATCTATCATTTTTTTAAATAACAATTTTCTAGCGTTATTTCGAATAACATATAAACTAATTTCAACGCAAACAGATTTAATAGGCATTTTCATTTTAAAAAAAAAAAAGTTCTTTTTAGTGTAGGCAGGTAAAAAAAAGTTTTTTCATTTTGAATCTGTTGTTACTTAGAATAAAGAAAGTAAATTTGAAATGTTGTGCCTAAATTGTAACGATTTTATTTTAATTAATGTTTGGTCTCATAAACATTAAGTTATAATTAGGAACTTAAATTACAGGATGGCCGAAAGAAAAGAACGTCAGAAAATATAAGTTATCTTTGAAATCTGTAAGTTAAATATAAGTTACCGCTGATATAAATGTTTTATACAGGGTTGACTGGTTTAAAACCTGAGTGGTGAGTCAGGTTCGAATCCCAGTGGCGACTGGTTGAAACGAATTCTGTTCCCAGCTTTCACCGATTACAGCAGTGCTGTCGTAAATTATCTTCAATGGTAGTAAAATATGTCGTAAGATATCTCTCCGATGGTTAGTTTATCCCAATGCTTGTTCCAGGAGCTCCCTTGTCTTCTGAGTTGTGTTCGAAATTACAAGGCTACGGAGTTGAACCTTGATACTCGTAAACTCAGAATCGGGTCGGCTGTTCAATCTGGTTATAAAATAAAATATGAATTAAAACCATAGTGGTTTAAGACTAACCAGCAATGGTTTTCATAACTGATTGGAAGAGTGATTTCTTTAAATTAAATAAGAAATTTCCAGTTAATCTAAGGATGATTGGATTTTTTTAAGTGGATTAATTACCACATCTAATCTGATACCAACACTTACTTAACACATAGTCATTTATTTTATGTGGCATCTATAAAAAATTGTTTTAACTCTGGTCTTATGGGCCTCTTTTATTTCGGCTAAACAAATGTATTTCAATTATGTAAAACACTATTTTAAAGAAAAACTAGAATAATAGATATATATTTTTAAATATGTTTTTTTTAAAAAAAAATAATACAGTGGAATTACTCTTTCATTTTAAGAAGTAGTTTATCAAACCAATTTTAGTTTGCAACTGAGAGACAGGTCATACGAATCGTTTCAACGAACTATTTTAAAGACAAACTAGAATAATAGATATATATTTTTAAATATGTTTTTTTTTAAAAAATAATACTGTGGAATTACGCTTTCAGTTTAAGAAGTAGTTTATCAAACCAATTTTAATTTGCAACTGAGAGACAGGTCGTACAGATCGTTTCAACGAAGTGTCAAAATCCTCTTCAACGACACAATATACGACTTATTTATCTTTCCAAAATTTTTCCTCTACATGCAAGAAAGAGTCAAAACAAAACGGAGTAAAAGCTTGAAATTTTGAAAGAAATTTGTAAACAAATTTACAAAATCAATCAATTGTAGGTAATCGCTATAGTAAATATGGATATGGCCACACTCGTTTAAATATTATTGGGTAGTTTAAAAAATGCTAGTGAAAAGTTATGAATAATTAGCTGTATTATCTTCTAATGTTTAGAACAATGAATGAAAAATAGTTTAAATTATCAGTTAAAATTAAGTTAAAAAATTTGCCTTTCCTTCACGAAAAGTTTATTTTAAATCTTACTATTTAACAGCAACGATTATCGTCATATGAAAGGGTAAAATAATTGTTTGAATCAGCCATAAGGTTTAAAAAAATTTTGTCTGCCGTTTCGCTAAACCGCTGATAAACTTTATTGACATGATAATGGCATGATTAGTTTACTATATGTATTAGTTTTGCAGAAAATAAGTGGATAATTAATGTAGGCAGTTGAGTCTTTTTTTAAACTTTATTTGTATAGCTTATGAATTAATATCAAAAGAAAAAAGAATATTTTATTTTAATGACACTTATATGTTTAAGTTCCATTTCTGTATCGATTTCAATTAGTTTTAATAAAATCTATTTTAAAAATTAACAAAATTAAAATTAATGGTCTTAAAATTATTTTTCCACCACTGTATAAGTATGCTTTATTTGCAGGGGCTTTTCTCATACCTTATTTCATCATGCTAGCGGTGGAAGGTATTCCCTGTTTTTACATGGAATTGGCTGTCGGCCAACGACTACGAAAAGGGGCAATCGGTGCCTGGAATCTGGTTAGTCCTTACATGGGAGGTATCGGCATAACATCGGCCGTTGTCTCCTTTAATGTCGCCCTCTACTACAACACCATCATTGCCTGGTGCCTCTACTACTTCTTCCAGAGCTTCCAAACTCCCTTACCCTGGGCGGAGTGCCCGAGACAGGCAGGTCCAAACAACACTTACATCATAGTTCCCGAGTGCCAGGTACGTCCCTCCCTCCATATACTACGTCCATAAATTAAGAATAATGTAGTTGATGCTGTCTCATTTTGTTTTATAGAAGAGTAGTCCGACCGAATACTTCTGGTACCGCCAGACCCTGGATATCAGTACTGATATCGATACTACAAATGGCTTCAATTATCGTATCGCCCTCTGCCTCCTACTCGCCTGGTTCTTCTGTTATCTGTGCATGGCAAAGGGGATCGCCTCCTCAGGAAAAGTTGTGTACGTGACGGCCACCTTTCCCTACCTTGTGCTGGTCATCTTCTTCTTCAGGGGTATCACACTAGACGGCATGCAGAATGGACTCGAACATCTCTTCACACCGGACGTAATATCTCCATCCAACTTCATTTCTTTAAAATAATTCGTAAAATATAGATAAAAATCCGGGAACCGAAACCATCCAAATTTCGTTGCAATGAAAAAGAGAGGCAACTTAAATTTTACTTAAACCTGTAAAATATGTCCGATGGTACACGAAATTTAAAGTTCAATTGTTAATAATTATTGCAAAAGTTTCTAAGAAATATTACTTTATAAAGTTATTACGTAAAATGACTAATACTTTTTACCACATATTCTTGTGAGATGACGAATGAAATGATTTTGTGTTAACAAATCTACACGATTTTGTGCTTGTAAATAATCATATTAAACTGCTGTTTTCACTTTCATTCGTTTAGTTTAAGAATTATTTCCAAAAACTAAATTCGCGAAATACAATATCCCTTATGAAGAGGTAAGAATGATGGTTATTTGACTGCTAGAAATGTTTCACATTGTTTCCACCGAGTATGATTGTTTTAAAAAGCATAAAATTACCCCAAAGAAAACATAATTTTTAAAATGAGCGAGTTTTGTTGATATAGCTCCAAATCGTTGAAGCACTCATTACTGTACTTATAAAGTTCAGCCAATTTTAACCACAGGCGAGTGAGTGAAGATAATTCTCTCTTTCGAAACAAATGATTTAATGTTAAACTTAGTTTTTTAAATGACTAACTTTTATTTTTAATAGAAAAGTATTATACTTTTTACTTTCATTTTTTGATTAAATGGAAAATTCAAATAAAATATGCTTTGGGAAATGTAGAATTTGATAGGTGTAATTTAGGCTGACCTGTCAAACTAAATCCTAAACTAATGTTTCCAAAAATAATGAATTTATTATTATTTTATAGTTAAAATTTTAATCTGAACAGTAATTGTTTATTCTTCTAACAGAATTACTTGAAATATTGATAAAAAAGATTGTTATTAAATAAAGAATTGTGAAAACTCTGAACTGGATTGTACGCAGTCAAACGATTGTTCACCTTTTAAAACTTATCTGCAATTTGAAGAGCTTACATGGCACAGAACTTGCCTGTTGATTTTAAGCAATCCGCACATAAATAAATAATGTTCTTCAAGAGGATTTTATTTTCCAGAGTAATCTAGCCAAAAACAGCAAATACATGTGCAAAAAATAAATGGCATCCTGAATAACTTTTGATCAAATGAGCAGATTTTCAAAATAAAAGCCAATCTTAATGGTTCAAAGAGTGAAACTCAAATGTACTAATTACTTAAGTAGTGATAACTACGGACACTGTATCTAAATAAACATAGTCTGTCACAACGGATTTTTGAACCTCACAATTTGGAGGGAAGCAGCAATCTGGAAAATATGACACCGCTTTAATATTATTTTCACTTTTTGAGCTCATGTCTCTAAAACTAATAATTCAATTCAAAACATTCTTGAACCTCCTTTTGAATTTTGTTAATTCTATCATGAAATCATGAAGGAAAATTTTTTAACAATTATTTACTTTTTTTTAATAATGTAGTCGAAAACTCTGGATTATAAGGATTACAAATTTCTACTGTATTTAAAAGTGTGTCATTTCGAACGGCATCCAAAACTTGAACAACGAAATGGGTCGTATAGTTCTTAAGAAATAAAAAATTAAAAGTACAATTTTTTTTAAGGTTGCCTAACTCACAAAAACTATTCGGCCAATTTCGTCCAAATTAGGTATTTTTTTCATTCACAATTACTTAGTTTAAAATCGTGTAGGATATTGTGGATCAACTAAAAATTCTACTTTTTAATTTTTTCGAGTATATAATTAAAAATAATAATCGAGTATATAATTAAAATAATTAAAAATAATTTAAAATTATTAAAAATTGTTTTTTTTATGAAAAGAAAACGAGTTTCATAAGAAAAGTGTAAAAGAATTTCGAATTGCGCCATTAGTTTTAGAGCTATGACCAAACACTAAGAAAGGAAAATTAACATCAGGAGGCATTTGACAACTCTACTGACTAAATCAATGAGACATTATTTTCCAGATTGCTGCTACCTCGCACCCCGATATTTTGAAGATCGAAAAATTAAATCCTTAACAAAAAGTACATTCGTTTAAAGATAGTATCGGGCACCGTAACTCAATAGTAAACACTTCTCAAGTTGTTTTCATTCTTGAGATTAACACTTTAAATCGTTAAAATTGGATCCTAGTACTTGAAAATCCAATCAGTTGTTAAAAAGTTAGCGAGTTATATATCAGTACAGAACCCGTTATCCGGAAATCAGAAAACCGNTATATATATATTTTGTTACGAAATTATCATTAAATGGCCCAAACATTAGACTACTTTTCTGAAAATTATTGGTACCATGTTTTCACGATAACGCTAACTCCCTCTTATTTTTGTGATTAAAGTTTAAAAATCCTATAAAAAAAAAAGATCCAAATTTATGTAATTGTGCTTATTCAAATGCTTGATTCGAAACACTTTTCATTGAGGAATGTGTTGTGTTGTAGTGGTCGAGGCTGGCAGATCCAGTAGTGTGGCTTGAAGCTGGCACCCAGATCTTTTTCTCCCTTGGATTAGCCTTCGGAGGACTGATAGCCTTTTCTTCCTATAATCCGGTACACAATAACTGCTTCCGAGACGCTATCACTGTCTCCATATGCAACTGTGGAACATCCATGTTTGCTGGAATTGTCGTCTTCTCTGTACTAGGTAATTTTTCTTTCTTTCTCACATCTTTTACACACAATTCTGTTATTTTTCAAAAACTGCGAAACTTTAAGAATTTTGATAAGTAATAAAAACATACTTAATAATATTGATATGAATTAATACGAAGTTGTTTTGTTTTTAGAAAACTGTTCGCCTGTTTTAAGATTTATGCATACATTTATATATAT